AAAAGTAGACGCAAGTAGAAAGGGAAGAATCACACATAAATGTTTAAAGTATTGGTACATTTGCTGGAATCTTCAATAGCCTGATAGTGATGTTAAAATATTATGTTCTCGGGCATTTCATTTCCTGGTTAATGTCTTTTTACAAAGTTAATTGTGCTGAAGAACACTTCTAATCAGAAATGTCATATTGTAAATGTTGCTTCATTTATTGAATGTAATGTCACTTTACTCAGCTTTGATTAGGGCTGAAGACGTCATATAATAAGGAAGATAAAGTGTCTCGAATCGTCTTCTAGCATGGCCTACCCCTCAGCAGGAACAAAGTCATTCATCTGCTTCGTTTGTGTTGACATGAAGATTAGCGCAAAGTCTGTTTGTATATTATCGCCATTCCTTTATAAATGCATAAACTAAAAGCTTGTTCTATATATTTATAATTTAATTTAACAATTTAATGCTTTGAAATAGATCTTGTTGTTAAAAGAATGATGGGTAATAATAGATTACGACGGACTAGAAAGTCAAACCTTACTATAAAAGTTATTTTTAGGAATTTGTGTTGGCGTGATCAAGTGGAGAAAATAACAACAAAATAAATAGATGGACTTGAAAATATCCAACTGTATCCTTTAACTTAAATCTGTCCTAGTACACAAAAAAAGTGTATTACCATAATTAACAACATGAGATTAATGTACGCTGGCAGCTTGTTAAACCACGTAGTTCCATATTTGGAAACTCACACAAAATAAATTGTGCGCTTTCTTTTTTGGGAAATTAAGCCCAAACCGCTGCTATGTGATGTCAAGAGAGTAACTCCTTCCTCTATGAAATACTACAGGATACTACTCCCTTTGGGGAAAAACACAAGCCCTTAAAACAGACTTTCATCTGAAGAAGGTGCTGAGTTTATCAAATGTATCATTCATATAAATAAGGTATTACATGTCATTCAGCTGATGCTTTTTATACATAGCAACTTTTATACACTTATCTGGGTTAGGGATTTTGCCCAAGGACACTGTGAAATCTTTACTGCACGGTCTAAGAATCGGACCACTGAACCTCTGAATGGTAGATTACTCCAGAGCAACAGGTGCCAAATAGGAGTTATCTGCTTAAACACTTTTAATTTAAACAATGTGGATGTGCTGCTTCTGTCAGACAATCTGCAGTATCATTTAACATTAATGTGGCCACTTGAGTCGTAAAACGTCCCCATTCATTTAGGAATCTTGCAGCTACTGTAAGAGAAAGTCGTCATTTTTTAGCTTGCTGTTATTTATATCTCTTTTAGGACAACGAGCAACCCACAAACACATGAACAGTCATATACAGTGGGACAAAAAAGTATGTAGTCAGCCACCAATTGTGCAGGTTATCCCACTTAAAAAGATGAGAGAGGCCTGTAATTTTCATCCTAGGTATACCTCAACTATGAGAGACAAAATGAGAAAAAAGAAATCCAGAAAATCAAATTGTCTGATTTTTAAAGACTTTATTTGCAAATTATGGTGGAAAATAAGTATTTGGTCAATAACAAAAGTTCATCTCAATACTTTGTTATATACCCTTTGTTGGCAATGACAGAGGTCAAACGTTTTCTGTAAGTCTTCACAAGGTTTTCACACACTGTTGCTGGTATTTTGGCCCATTCCTCCATGCAGATCTCCTCTAGAGCAGTGATGTTTTGGGGCTGTTGCTGGGCAACACGGACTTTCAACTCCCTCCAAAGATTTTCTATGGGGTTGAGATCTGGAGATCTAAAGACGGTATGACTCTTGTGTGTGGAAAGAGAGTTCTGCGTGGTGTACTGTGAAGTGTCAATTGGATAGACAGGTCGAGCTAAATGAAAGGGTAATTTACATACCGTGTTAAATTCACATGTAGTCTACGTGTTGTCCTTGTTTATTTCAACAACAGAAGCAAAAACTGCAGTCCATCTTCTTTGTTTTTGTTGTGAGTGGTGAAAGAACATTAGTATTCTCACAGAGATGTGGATGTCCTGTCGCTGTTATTCGTTCCGAGCGTGTGGTGTTAAATGAATATAGCTTCTTACACCCAAAGTAAATAGAGTAATCCAGCTTTAGGTGTTGTTTTGTCCAGCCAAATACTTGACAGTCGCTCTCTGTCATGTGTAGACCAAATGCTTCTCGTTTCTGCGCCGCCTGTTCCAAATGACAATCAACACTGTCCAGCTCCGCGCCAGAGCCGGGCGGGTGGGGGGTGTAAAAGCTCGCGTCTTTGTGCTGCATCACTTGGCACATTAGGGATTTTCTCTCATAAATGCTCCGATGAGCCAAAACAAACGCATGTTGCTATCACATCACAGTTGC